GAAACAAAAAAATCCTATATTTCCGTCACGTATTTTATCTGTTTGATTATTATCAGGCAATTTACGAGAATTTGGTAGTACTGCCCCTTATAGTTTTAAACAGTAGTTAACGTTGTACAAACGTGTCAGATAACATCGATACATCGCGTCGTGTAACTGATTTCAATTTGATTATTCAATCGATCATACTTGCACTTCGATTGATTAATTTGTGACAATTGCATCATGCATCGAGCATCTATGATTAATAGCTCAATGAATATATCAGAGGGTGTAACATTACATGATTCTGATATAATTACATACGAATTGGCATATTCTAGACAACACTCAGCTCTTATTTTTCGCTGAGTATTATCGTAATTTAAGAATAGGTACCGAAACACATAATTTTTGCGATCACTGGTAAAAGATGACATTTTTCTTAAATATTCACTTTATACAGTGGTAGTAGCCACTGATGAGTGCATAATTTGACTTATAGGGTGCCAAAAATATCATACTAATATTATAAATGTGAAGTTTAGATGGATAGATGGATGAATGGATGTTTTTAGAGTTTGTAGCCTAAAGTGCTGAACGGATCTCAATGTAATTTGGCATAGATCTAGACGATAGTCTGGAAGAACACATGGGCAACTTGGTTTTGTTTTTCTTTAATACCACGCGGACGGAGTCGCGGTCGAAAGCCAGTATTATATAAAACAGTTGACAAGATAATAATATTATGGATATGATATTTAAGTTAACTATTATTAGCATGGGTGCTTTTTTAACGCTCTTAACATATACATAGATGGAAATACATTTGTTCTAACGTTTTCTTAACGCGCGTTGTAAAAGCGCCCGTGGAAATGCGGGATTATGTTGGAAAGCTCATTTCAGTTATCAAAGCATTCGAATGAGCATTAGAACGCTATGACATATCAATAGAAACCTTTGATCAATTAATTTGTAATAGGAAACAGTATTGGCTATTAGATGCATGTGCTTTGAAACTCGATTGATCATAATTCTATTCAAATGCTTGTGCAACCATAACTTGCTTCTCAGATTTGATACTAACGTCATGTAATGCAACTGTCAACTGCAGATATTATTATAGTATATATATGATAGGTCTACACATAATCAATGATTTTATACACAACTAGCTTTCGCCCGAGACTTCGACCGCGTGAAATTAAAAAAAAAAAACAAAATCGGGTAGCATATGTGTTCTCCCAGACTATCCTCTACATCTTTACCATCATTTTATCGAAATCCGTTCAGCAGTTTAGGCTACAAACTCTAACAAACATCCATCTATCTAAACTTTCGCATTCATTTCATTTAACAGTGGCAGAGCCCGCTTTAACATCTTCGCACGAATGGGCCAGCTCGCCCGGTGTAATACCACGACCACACAAAAAACAGGCGTCAAGTGGAAGCAATTCCGCATTCCGTCTTATGTGTGTTGTGCCGGAGGCCTAATTTTAGTTCCTTTCCCATTCCACCCTTTTCTTAAGAGGAAAGGATGGAAAGGAAAAGTGGATTTGACGGTGGAGGGGACGCATAGGAAGAGGAAATGTCCTCTTTATGTGCGTCTCCTCCTCCGTCAATTAAGGGTAGGCAACGCATCTGCAATTGCGAATGTTTATGGGCAGCGGTCGATATACATTTCGGTGGATTCAGGTGGTCGCTTGCTCGTTTGCCACCTTATGTTATAAAAAAAAATCATAATTTGAGTAAGATTAACCGATACTATAAATACATCAAAGTACTCTTAAAGTAATTAAATGTTTTTCAATTGGATTTGTCATTAGATTCTTTTAAGTTACAAATTTTCGAGCGCGTTAGAGAAAACAAAACTTTTTTCTGATGCAATGAAATGTGTGCCCACATTAATAACACAGATTTCACAGTATGTAAAGACTAACTTCTCTTATGAGTCGCAGATTCAATACAATACCAGTATCAAAACTTGTTTTTACTAATAAGTATTTTAACAAAATAGAGAGCTTTTATCATCATATCATATTATTTATGAACCAGTTAAAAATAGTGAAACTTTACATAGGTTTTATTTCTGTAGCTCAAAAACTCAAAGTCGCATAAATGTGGGGCGAAGGCGGTGATTATCGCTTGTTTAGTATTCTACGGGAGTGTTGGTCGCTTACGCTGATATACACACTTTGCTCTGCGGGCCTTTGACTTTTGAGAGACAGGACATGTCAAGCGCATATTCCTCTCCGGCTTATAAAAACGAACGATAAGTTTTAAACTTGCTTTTTTGGATGTGCACATTTTTGAGTCAATCTGTGTTCAAAAATGCTGAGAAAATTCATACGAGACGATCATCTTCACCTAACCTTTCGCGAAAAGTAGCAGAATTTATTTAATACAATGGCGGCTTTTTGCTTAGTCCTTATCTTTATAGTTTAACTGCAGGATTGCGAGCGCCAGTTGGACGCTTGAGTACGTTTTACACTTAGGCTTGGTACACACGAATGAACGGCACTTAGTGGAAAATTGAAATACATATTTTATAAAATTACAATTCGAAAGATTTTCTTAAAACGTTCATAAGATACGGGTTTCGTACCACGATTGGTTGTTTTAGCTTCAAATATTTCGGCACAGTTGCATGCGCCATGTTTACGGACTGACTGGAGCGGCATTGAATTGCATGAAAAATGATATTTGTAAAAACCACGACACTTCAATTATGAGTTTTTACAAAGTTTTTGTCAATAACAAACCCAAAAGAGATTTTTCATTTTTAGCCATATAGTGTTTTCAAATTTATGCCGTAACATAACTTAATATTCTTATTAATACAGAGTTAAACTAGAAAAATAACACTAACATGCGAGAAAGATAATATTCAGAATTCTGGTAACTTAAATACTGTTACAATTCGGTGTGAACTGGCCTTAAGTTACCTAATGTTTTAATATTGTACAAGCAGTGCGGTAGACCTCTCCTCGTATTTGCTAATAAGATCGATAGTTAAACATGTGGTGTCTTTAACAGCGGGATTACACTGCCTAAACGCGTGTTTATAACGCATTCTAGTACTGTACTTGTATTGTAATGTTTTACGAAAATTTATGTTCAATACCCATATTAAAAAGTCTTCCAGATTAGTTTTTGGAATTTCATAATATCGGAGTCTATGAGCTTTTTATGTCTATGAAAATGCAGTGTGTTGTGATATATACATTTTAGGAAACTCTTCAAACAAGCTTTTAAGGACTCCATTGTGACGATCACATACTTAGTAGTTTCATTGCAATAATATTCGCAGTTTTACATATGAAATGACTAAAACAAAATAGAAACATAGCTGTCACTTTAAATTTTTATCTAATTGTCAAAGGATATCAGATGTTTAAATACTTGTAGCGTGAATTACGACAGCATTCATGTATAGACATGTTGCTCGGGTGGTTAATAAGCGGAACATTATGCGATGCGAGAGAATCGAGTATTAATATGCATGTATGCATATCAATCAATCTTTACATGCATATTAATACTGTATTAGAAAGTATATCTTTAATGCATATAAATAAGAGTAATCTCCAAAATTTCGATGAAAAAACACTACTGCATTTGAACAAAATGTAACGCATACATGTACCTACAATCTAAATGGAAGAATGCCTGTCACTGGCGGCCCCAAAATGATAGAGACCAGTGGGTGACCGTTTCTGTACGTATTCTGTTATTTTTTCTAATATAAGAAAAGATAATGTCAATATTTATTTTCAATTGTTTCAACGCATTACATTTATTAACTTAAACTTTGAATTACAAATTCGGACGTTTGAAATAAATTTCGGCGAGTTGGAAGTCAAACTCTGATGCAATGTCGAGGAAGTTAAAAATTTTAAGACAGAATTTAATTTAAAATTTCAATTTTAAAATTCAGTTTTTTTTTTAAATCATTAAATTCAATACCCGAAAGCCCGAATTTGGAGTTATCAAAAATACTACCAAATGGAATACAATTTTAAACATCCTGTCTACCACTTTAATGTCTTTAAATGACAATTATGAATAACATATTTTAATATAGATGTTGTGGCGGAAAAGATATTTAAAAACATATAAAACATAAAACATATTACCTCCGGAGACGTTTTCCAATGTGAAAGCATTAAAGTCCCATAACGCCGACCGATCGAGGATGTACTGCAAAAAAGCAAACTAGTCGTTAGACAACATAAATTAGTCCTTCTATCGCACGTTCGTACGACGCTAGCGAATAGACCCATACCATGTTAACAGTTACATCTGTATACCTTGCGAGCAATGGCGGCCCGTGGTTTATAAAGCGGGTGGTGCGCCCCTAGCTAAATATAATAAGTATCTTAAATTTACAAACAAAAATAATTTTAATATAATTTTTAAATTTAAGCACGAGTCGCCACTGCCTGAGAGATAAGTAATTTGGTCAATTGGATCGATTTTGTATTAGCGCCAGCATCTTATCAGAAAATGTCAAATATGTACCAGACGTTTGTGTTGAAGAATACACAGGATGTGTTAATGGGCGTATCAAAATGTCTTTAGAAGTAGATGACTCTCAATAAAGTCAAAGTTATATAATCAGGTTTTTCATTAAGAAACATCCTGTATAGCAAAAAGTGTGATCTTTTTTGGTACTTTAACAGTTAGTTAAGGGGTTTTATTTGACCGGTAATAAATTTTTAACACTAAATTTCTCTTCCTAGTTTTTTACTGAAGGATGGAAATCTATCACTGTATAACTACGTTACATTACGGTATAAACAAACGCATTCATTTAAAAGTTACTACTACGCATAATAAAAAAAATCGCAACTTTTCAACATTCGCACATATTTCAGCGAGTCTAAGAGCAAATTGAACTGAGTTCTGTTCGACAGGTTCTTGGGTTCCCTAAACGTACACTGCATCAGCTTGGCATTTTAATATTCAATTTGTCAGTTCGCGTGTGTATTAACAAAGGAAATAATCGATCTTGAAGGTAGATCCCAAGATCACTTTGTATGAGAGGGAGTTCTTAACAGCTTTTGTCGCCTAATAAACTAAACACCTCGGATAAACGAAAATGGATCGGGAATGTTTATTGGGTTCGATCTTCTACTCGACTATAGGTGATCGTTGTCAATGAATCAAAATGTATATGTACTACTTATATGTCTAAAATCGCAAGCTTGCACAATTATTATAAACGACAAGGTTTTCAAAATACAATATATACAATATATACATTAACAGCGCACTTGTTTCATTTTCAACACTAAACGAATTAGCTAAAGAGTTTACTTAGATTTATGCGGAGTGGGTTTTTATTTGTACAGTTTTCAGTATTTTTTTCGCAAAACAAGGGCGCTGCGTTCGAGACATTGTGTTATGTTATTGCGGCGAGACTGTCGAAAAATCAATGACCCCGCTCGACCACAGGACTCCTACGCCAAGCTAATCTGCAAAACCAAAGAGAACTGACCGACTAACCCTAGACTAGGCTTGTGTACAGATGAAAATGTAATTTATAAAGAAAACTAACTATTGCTCGCGTCGTCAGCGTGATTTTTTTTTAATTTCTTTATAATAAGACCATTTTTTTTTTGTTTTTTTTCGACATTGCTTTTATAATTACTATTTGACTGTAATTGTAAAAAATATTTTTACTAACATTTAATTTTTATATTCAGAGTAGATCAAAGTTCTTCTGGTATATTATATCCGGATTATCTTAAAAATGGTACTTATTTAATTTTTTTCTGAATTAACAGGAAATATTTATTGTATGCGTTCCAATGTGAACGATTTCATTTAGCATAAACCTTACAATTATAAAGTGTGAGATGTCATTCGATTTGCACTAAGTTACATACAGGGACAGCTATATAAATCCGTTGTAATTTTTTTTTTCTCCGTTATAAAGATATAGCGCGTGGAGCCGCGTTATTAAACTAGCCGCAAGTACACAGACGGGAACGGCTCATGAATACAAAGCGTCGACATTTAAATTTACGGCCGAGAACGTCTCGGTGTCGAAGGATCGCGCAATGACCATGGCGGGACTAAACTCACGCCGAAATACCAAGTAATTATTTTATTGTCATTTATAACTGTATCCACAAATTATTTTAATACAATAGTTGATAGTCGATTGTTTAGTTCAATATTATAAGAAATGTTAACTAATTAATATCGTACCGTTAAACAAAATCGGTCATTAATCGATAAATTTAAAATAAAATTTACTTTAAATGTTTTTTTCTAGTACAAAAATCCACCGATCATCCTTTAAATTATAGATTAGGTGTTTCAATTACGATCTCTCAATTATTTAAAACTGCTGCCTTTGGCAAAAACGATTCGATCGATTGAGCAACGTCGTTTTTAAAATAGATTTAATTGGAACGTACTAAAGCAGCATTCGTATACCCTTAGTTTTTAAAGGCCTTTCCATTTTTTATGATGAATAATCCAGCGCTTGAGTACGAACCGATGATGTTAAGTGGTGAGTTAGGTTTAATTGAGATTCATAGCATGAAACGTAAAAAGTTGCCTTGTTGATTTAAATTCTTTGAAACATCTATACTTAATATTACGCACAACAACAATGTCTCCATGCAAAAATAATAACAAAAATTAATCAGTCAAATATATAAACAACTACAATCAAACTTGGTTTGACTGTATAGACCAGGGATTCCCAAACTTTTCTCAAAGACACCTTCCAAAAATATACCTGTGAACCCTCAACTTTGTTTCCCGTACATTCCTGGGTCTTTCTTGGAGCCCAGAAGGTTCGAGAGAGTTCGGGTTTAGGAGGACCTTCGGGAATCACTAGTATAAACAAACTGAGCAGCAATGCTTTATAGTCGCGACGCTTAATTGTACAAGCTATACGAACAGTTTATCTTCTTGATGTGTCATGACTTGCCTGCTGTTGGCGCAGCTGCAGGTCGTCAAGCAGCAGCCCGTCATGTTGTACTTGAGGCACCAGGGTGCGCCTGCGTCGCTTCTTGAGGGTGAGAAAGCAGCCTGTAACGGCGGCTTCCTCGTTCATGTTAGAGATAGCGTCTTCATCGGAATTGCGCCGCGCTTGCGGCTGGTTCTCGTGAACTGTAACGAAAACTTACATTTAATTATAAAATTTCTGCCCATTATAACTGAGATTATTAATAATAGTTTATTTAGTAATTCGATATCTTTAACACGTTTACTACCGACTCTAATGGCGAGACCATTTTATATTAAAAAATTAGTGATAGAATGTATTATTATTAAATGTATTCCATAACGATTATAGACTAAAATTTGCGTTCATATTAGTATGAACTTTTATCTCAGCAGAGAATAGCTTGAAATTGTCTTAAAACGGTAACACTTTTGACCTTTCTTATATCCAGACTACAGTTACAAATACTGTTATATTGAGGTAATATCACAAATACTGTTATATTGTGGTAATATCACAAATACATTCTCATTCGTCACAAAACCTCCACGGTATTACATTTTCGATACCTAATCCCTTTGATATTTAAAAATCCACTGCTTTGTGACGAATTTAATAACTAAATGTCCTTACGTATATATTCATCTACACTAATACTAATACTAAGCATACAAATATTATAAATGCGTAAGTTTAGATGGATGGAGGAATGGATGGATGGATTTTCGTTAGAGTTTGTAGCGTAAACGGCTGAACGGATTTTGATGAAATCTGGTATAGATGTATAGTATAGTCTGGAAGGACATATAGGCTACTCGCTTAGGTTTTTTTAATTCCACGTAGACGGAGTCGCGGGCGAAAGCTAGTATACTAATATACTAATATACTAATATAATATTATAAAGAGGAAAGATTTGTATTTTTGTATGTATTGAAATAACTAAAAAACTACTAGGCCGATTTTAAATCAGAAAGGTATATTTTAGAATAGGCTATATTTTATTATTACTAATGAAATAATATAACATAATTAATAAGGGTAACCGAAAAATTAGGGCTTAGAAATTTGGAATCTTAGATCGGTAAATTTCTGTTATTACGTAGTTTATTGATAAGTTAATACTTTTGATAATAGGTTGAAAAAAGGGCGAAAGCAAGTTTTGAAACTAACGGACAAAAGCTAGTACTCCCTATATTTTTATATTGAGATTTCATCCAGAGTTTAAAGCTTGTCTATAAATGTTGAATTAAAACCAATACATATCAACCATATTGACAAACGATAACATTGATAATAGTCGTTATCTGTGTTACGCAGAGAATGTAGCGCCCAACATGATACAACTACATACAAAACTTTTAAAATATAATTATTCTTTTAAAATTTGAATTGTCGTTAGCTCAGTCCCCACCGAGGAGATCGGATTCTACTCAAGTAAAGATTGCCTTCGTCGTTGACGTATTAGTACCACATTGGTCCATTGCGTTCTGGTTGACTATTCACGTTTTTTGTCTTCGTAAATTGGAATTTTATTTTATTAGTTGCTACGTGCATTATTGTAGCTTAGCGGGATTTGAACTTCGATCGTTATTCTAGTTACTGATAATATAAACAGATAAAAAATAGTATCGTAGGTTTTACTATCAAAACGATTACGTCCACATTTAATGGAGGTAAAAAAGATTCTACAAGACAGATACTCTTATATGTAGGTGAAATTTCTGAAAAAAAAGTAATATAAAAGAAAAGATAAATATGTGTTATCATTATATTAAATATGGTTAACGTAATAACATGTCTGTTGTCAGTCATTTTAATTTATATGCTTGTTAAAATTGTTTAGGCTACAATTGCTCATGTGCCTTGTGTTCTTGTGAGGAAAAAACAGTTCATCCTACTAGAAACTTATAAAAATGACAATACTAGAAATTAGTAACATTGTTTGCTTACATAGGACATACAATTTGAAATGTTTACCTCAATAGCTAGATTAGACAAACTTTGCAGGACGTACGATGGGCACGATCAGCGACCAGCCCAGCACTATCTAGAATTACTGTTTATCACGCACTGTTTACTGATTGTTGATAAAAAAGCTAGCAAAAGCTTATATGAAACGCAACTAATGCTGCGTATTTCTAAGTACTCATTCGATTACAACGTTTATGTAACCTATACGCTGTACATCATACTAGTTGATAAGAAATCTAGTGTTGACCATATTCGGTAAGCAAGTGCGAAGCTAAGCTAAGTTCCCACGGACAGCAAGAAATGAAATTGATAGCCACGATGTTATCGCACTTGTAAATGAAGTTATATGTCGTTTTACACTGAGTAGGAGCGTAAATTAAAAATAGTTGAACATAAGTTACTTTACTTTCCTATTTGTTTTGTTTATACCAATAACTAGTCGACATAGGTTAAGACAATACGATTTTTTATTGAAAAATACTGAAAATCCTATCTATTTATCATTTACACAGATTCTGTAGTGAGTTCGTGTGTCCATAAGTAAAGAAGATACTAATGAGAAAGAAAACCTTCTCATTCTTTTAAAAAAACTATGTACAGGTATGTATATATAGGTGTATGTAAAGGTTGATATAAAACTTTAGCGAAAGGGATGGTATTTGATAAAATCCTTTGATCTCTTAAATGTGCAAAAGAATTGAATCAAAAAAACTTAATACTAAACTTTTATAAACAACTAAGTCTTATCTATGTGTTTTCTCTTTGTTAGAACACTGGCTATCTGCTTTGTTAACAATATTCATACTTCGTTCTTACTCAACCTTTTTAGCTCTCATTCAGATTCATTGATTATATATTTTACGTACATAAATACAACAAATACAATTCTATTTTATTAAAGAAATTAATTAAATACACCGTTTCGTTTCGATACTAACGGCTCTTGTGCCAAATGATATCAAATTAAGGTGCAGTTGAAGTACAATCGGAATCTGGCGGTGATGCATCTTTTAAGCTACAGTCGTTTAACTTTTTCGTACGCATCGAGATGACGCGGAACAATAACCAACATGACGCAGCTTTTGAATATGTCTACGATAAAATGTCGGTCGTTGGTACACGGATAATTGCTTTTTATTGTTATTCCGTTGGTTGCCCAACGTAGTGTTACTTAGTTGGTTATTAGTAAGAAAAGGCGGAGCTTGTCTTGTTACTAGGAAGAAGAAAATATTTCTGTAAGTGGAACACCGTGGATTTCCGCGATTGTACAGTTTGATATCATATGTACGATGAGATGGGGAATAAATCATTTAATGTATAAAGCGAACGACGTTGCCAAAACGAAGCTTTATCGCGTACATAAATCATAGATCGTGTACTTTTTCTTTTGAATATCAGAAATAAGATAGGCAACAGTCCAATGTAACGTAAAGCTGTTTTGAGTACATTTAGTTTACTTGCATCATCTAGGATAGGGATGGCGAAACGCATCAGTGTTCCTTTATTTAAAAAAAAACTGAGGTTTAGACATGCTACATAATAATTTTGACTTAGTGATTATTGAGAACATGCCTTAGCGTAAAGATTGTGTGTAAAATTAATTGAGTCATTAAATAATTAATTTAAACTTTCTATGATCTTAATAAATTATTGGATGCAAATGCTTAAAAAAAAATTAAAATCATTAGGTATAGTATTACTTTAACCGTTGATCATAACCGTGGAATATGACAATTATTTTCTAATAGTTTCTTCCCGTGGTCATGAGTCGGAGGTCGACGCGACGTATTAAAGGACTATTTCGAAAACAATACAAGGATCCTTAAGAATTCAAAACACGCGTAACACATACAGTAAGCGTACAAACTCTGCGTAGAGATACCTACAATTTATAAGAATGTTGACATCAAATCATTCAATCGATATATCAATCGATACTTAAAGAGCTAAGATCATGATGAAAGTAGGTACTTCAGACAAGCGGGTAATCAAATATATAATTATTTTATAATCCTTCGTTTCAGTTCTGTAATTAACAAGTAAGAAGTAATTAAATTAAGTACTAAGTACTCGCTCTGAAGATGGACCCCCGATGGGTCCAAAACTATTCGGTGCCCCCAACAGTAGATAAAACACTAGTTGAGCCGTCTTTAATTCTTTTAAGTAAAGAGTAACTTCGTTTTAATAATCCCAGCTTTAAATAAACAATAAAAAAACTTGACTGATTGAGTTTGTGACATTCTAAGTTAAGAAATTATTTTGTCACTTTTTAGTAACTTTTGTTTCATAATATGTTGTTTAGAAGTCGCTTTAATGGCTGTGTGTTGTAAGCTTTAGTTAAATTTGAAACATAAAAGCTTCTCAATTGTTTTATTAAAAAACAAACGTACGAGTTACGAGTTACATGTGACCTTCATCGCATGTTTAATAAAAATATTCCATACAGATTTTAATTGGCAGTGTAAAGTGAAAGCTCTAAAACAGAAAAACATTTTGTTTGCTTTCACGTTAGAATTTTAAAGTGCCCTTTTTCAATCAGATTTCGGCTTCGATGCAGCCGGCTTTTTTCAAAGCTTTTTATTGAAATTTAGTTGTAAAACGAATTTGGAGTGACTCTTCATATCAAAGCTAGCTAACTGTGCTCCATCTAATACATTTTGTACCGACTAAAATAAACATTTGTTAAAATACTTATATTTTAAAAAGTTACTTTTTCATCCGGATCGTAAGGTCACACGTGTACGAATAATTGTTAATAGCGTCTAAACAAGTAACATTCTCCTACGTATAAATTCACAATTTTAGAACCATATTTAAAAGTTGAAAAGAGTACTTAATAACGAAAAAAAAGCATATCAAATTATGATCCAGCATTTTTTCCACACGTGCTCGTAACGAATATTCATTAACTAAGAATGGTAATACCGGACATCACGAATTAAACTTTTGAGCTCAAACTCATAAATCATTGGTTCTTAGTTGTCAATTTTGACATCATTAACATGCCGTAATCATTTAACATTTTAATAAGCTCCCTCAGTTACTAGTGTTATAAAATAAAATGCTACACATTTAAGTTGAGTCACTTTGTTGTAAAGCTGAAATCTGTCAATCGCATTTAACACCCGATCGCCAGTGTCCTAGATTTTTAGCTGAAATGTTTCAATACGCGCCCTGTCAGGGTCGTTTCAA